TAATAACTTCTGACCTGCTTTTGTCTAGTTAGTAGTTGCTCATTATGGTTTTGATTTCATCCTCAGGCAAAAGGCTCTAAATGGAAAAGCTAGTGCAATTGATGGTGCCAAAAAAGCCAGAGCACGTGAGCGCAGCCGAGCCATTCCAGCCCCTGAAGCCAATGCAGAAATCCAAACAAACTTAGATGTAAGTCCCATGCGTAATTACATTTGTTATCCTCATGGCATCACTTGGTCATACAGTTTTTGTTTTTTATTTCTTATTCCTTTGCACCCTAGTTCGTGCATATGTCATACACTTAAATGAATAATTGAATATCTTTGGTACTCTCTGTTTGTGGACTAATGTCCACTTTCACGACTATTTTAGGTCCGAGCTTCCTTTTTTTTAACCTATACTCAAGCTGACAAAGTTTTCTTGGAACTTTACCATTTGCACGATTTACATTATTTATAAATTATAAAGCTATCTGGAGCTTAAGAGCGAGCTCTAGATTCTTTAGGATTTTTCACTTTGGATTCTCTTATCATGTCTACCCTGACATTTAAAATAAATTTTTGGGATACACTTTTTTATTCTTAAAGGACACAGAACTTTGTGAGCATTTTGTTTGTTCTGATGATATTTGTGGTAAATTAAGCTTTTCGCTTACAACAGTGTCTTATATGCTGCCTTGAGCAACATTACATGTGTTTCTCACTGAATTTCAGAGGTGGAGAGTTGTGACTCATGCAAATGCAAAAAGCAAGAGTGAGAAATTTCCCCCTCCTCATCAAGATGGAGCTGTTGGATATCCACAGGATGCATCAAATAAAGGGCCTGTTTCATTTGGCGCTCCGGACACTTCCTTTGGTTCTGGGATATTCAATTCAAAACCATCTGGACCTGTAAGAAGTCATGGTGGTGCAGGACTTTACAGAGGGACCAAAACCAAAAAAGAAGAATCTCAGATGGCGTCATCATGGAAATTCATGCGTCCATTCAAGCCATCAACAGTTGGACTTTCTATGGATTTATTATTTAGGAACAAATAATCAGTTTCTTTTGATTTTGGCATCCTATAATGAGGAAAGTAATGATCTAGGCCATGATACATCTTTTCGGTATTTCGCGATGGTTTTCAAAATTTTTTTTCGTGGTGGTCCTATTTTTTGTATTTCATCTGGCATAAAGTTGTTGCTGTATAATCTACAACAGGGATCCTTACATTTGTATATTTAGAGGATTAAATTCTCTGCTGTACAGTTTCTGGGAGGACTTGTTCTTCGGGACCTTGGAAATGTTCTTTGATTTAGCTAGCAAATGATTTTTAGAAAAGCGCTGTCTCGTCTAATGTAATAATATTTCATCTCCCTTTCGTCAATTTTATTTACTTACAGCTTAGCGGGCGACAAAACTGATACAACCAAATTCCAAATGGACCGCACCCATTCAATTAATCAAAATATCTTTATTAAGAGTATAACTTTTCATATTATCAAAATTTTTTACAAATTATTGTTATAGGAAAAGATAATTGTTATGAATTTCATGTTTACAAATGTAATTTAATTAAAATATATTAATAGGATAAAAATATTTACAAATTGATTATATAAAAGTCTGATCTATGATGAGAGACTAAAACTTGAATTTGATATCTAAAAGATAAGAAACTCTTCAATTTAATCTTTGAGGGAAAAAAAATTAAAATTAGTTCTTAAATGTGTAGTTTATTATTTATTTATTTTATAGAATTTTAGTTAACTCTTACATGAAAATGTAACACATTGCATGCAATATAACTAAAAATAGAAATAGTTAGTAGACGATGCAAGACATTAATATTTTATTTTAAACTAAATAAATATATTTTAATAATTGAAAATTAAAATTTTTAAATAATTATATGTATATATAATATAATTATTTTGAACAATAATTTAAAAAAAATTATTTTAACTTAATTTCGTAACCAAAAAAAATAAAAGATAATGATTTATTTTACAAATGTAAGTACAAATATTTATAAAAAAAATCTAGAAATCTATATAAGATGAGAAAAAAAAAAGAGTAACAGGTTTTACTTTCAAAATTTAAAATGAAATTAACAAAATAAAAAATTAACTAATTGCATCAAGAAAAAGTGTATTTCATACATTATCATCAGTTAATTTTAATCTTGAAAAGTGCTAATTGTAAAAAAGAATAATCATACCAAATGTCTCACTAAAATACTTTCATTTATAATATCGGAGTTGATAAATTTTTTAACAGTCTCAGATCATTTTTTATTGATTAATATTTTTTATGATTTATGGTTTTTAAATAATGTTAATTTATATTTTATTAAAGTGATAAGTATATAAAATATTTCAATAAAATCAAGAACTATATCATAAATTGCATTAATATTTTAAGTAAAATATATCTTTAACCTTTTTTAGCCTTACTCAGCTTAAACATTATTACTTCTAATAAATGATAGTGTAAAAGTAATATTAGTAAATAATTTTTAATCAGTTGATAATGATTTTTTTTCATTAATTGTGCATCATAATTAAACACTTAAAATTATTAGACGTTTTAAATATTTTAAAATCAAAATTAAATCAAAATCTATATAACATGTACACATTGAAATAATAATAATAATAATAATAATAATAATAATAATAATAATAATAATAATAATTTATTTCTTAACGATTGAAATACTTAAAATCAGATTTTAACAATTGAAATTAATAAAATAATTATTTTTTATTTCATAACGATTTCCATTTTATTACTCAAATTATTATTATCACGTATATTTATACTCAAGTCATGTGAAGATTGTTCTTACCGTTTGGCCAAATTGTTAAAATTTTAATATTTTTTTTAACCCTACACTATTATATATGATAAAGAGTTGTATATGATAATTTTTTTATAAAAGAATAAGCATTTAATGCATTGAATTTTATAATTTTCAATAAAAACTTGTAATACATAAATTATAGTACTTCAACTCCCATCTTATATAAATTATATTATTAATAAGATCAATGATTATATTATGTAATGAAAGGATTAATATAAAATATTAAATAATCTTTATTATAAATAAATCTTATGACATGTTTGAATTTATATTTAAATATTTATAAATTTATGTTTATTTTAATATATTTAGTTATAATTTTATATTAAATTTATATGGTATTATGTACAATAAATTATGTCTTGTGGTATGGTTAAAAGAGTTTAAAAAAATTATTATTATATAGACTATATTAAAAATATAATTTACAATGACGCATTTAATAAAAGACCTTAATATATTTCTTTTATTATAATCTTAAAAAAAAAAGTTGACAAGTTATACTGTTGATCTTAATGAGAAATGCGAATGAACCAATTAAAATAAATTCTTAATTTGTGCTTTAAATTTTTTTTTTTTCATATTTACATAAATTATGTATAAGACACATGTATTTTTATCTAGTCTATATATCATAGTAATAAAGTTTTTTTTTACTATAAATTTCATATAGTTTTTTAATTTATATTTTTCTATTTTTAAAACTTATTACATCATTTTTTTAATCAAATTTATTTATTTATATAATTCTTGATCATGTGTATTTATTTATTTTTTATTTTTAAAAATAACTTTTAAAATTGAAAAAGCCCTATATGAAATATAATACTTTTAATAAAGAAAAGTATTTTTTATTATACATAGTAAATAATAAAATGAAAAATATACATTATTATAAATCCTATTTAATATTTTTTATTTAGGTATAAAACTATATTTATAAGTCTCGTTAACAATAATATAAAAGTAAAATCTATTTTTTATATTTCATTAATAAAATTGCGCCATTCTATGATTTAGATGCTTGTACAGTTATGAGTTAAAAAAATTAGATATTTTAAATTCATATGAAAATAATTATTTTAATACAAATAATCTGTACATCATAGAAAACAAATTATCAGTGGGTATTCTATTTAATTATAAATTAAAAATATTTTATTAGAAAATAATAGAATGAAAAGTATTTATGTTCAAATCCTTTTAATTTTTATTACATGAGAGACTAAAATTATAAAATAAATTATTATATTTGATATTTTTCAACTGGATACCAACATAAATTTAGTGCACATATAATAATTTAATTTTTTTATGAGGGTAGGTGAATATAATTTATTATATATAAAAATTAAAAATAAAATTTTAACACTTCAAATTTTTAATCTTTCATAGAATTATATTATACATTAATTTAATTTCTAAATATTTATAATATTAAATTATTTAAATATTAAAAAATATAAAAAATATTTCTTATTTTAATTTATAACTTAATAGAATGATTATTTTAATATCATTTAAGAACTATTTGATACTATAATGTTGCCATACTCAAATTAATAAAAAATATTTTTTTACATACAAAATAAATATGTACTATTTAAAAATAATTTATTTATTAAAATATAACATAAATAAAACATTATTTAATATTATTATTAATACTTTCTAAGTATTTAATAATAATAGAAATAAAGTATTGCATATTTTATAAACTCATTCATTAATTGGAATTATTCGCAATGAACATGTTAATCAAGCATATGGATAAAGTTCGTTTTCAACCAAAATACGCAAAGCCAAAATGATAGAGTAAGAGCTTTTTTTTAAGGTTAGCATTTTGCTATATTTTCTGAATAAATTTTTATTGTTTTATAAATTGACATTAATATTATATTAAAAACATGAAAAAATTATTAAGTTTGATTTAATAATGGAAAATTATAAACATTAAGTGTGGAAAGATTTAAAATGATAATGAGAAACAGTAGTGTTGGGGGTGGGTTGGTAAGGTGCATATGGTCCTAAAAATATAAAGATGGGGTTTACGTGTGTTGACATGGTTTGACACATGTCACCGGCACAGAAGGAAAAAGAGAACCGCAACTTGACTTAGAACACAAAAACACAACTTGTGGTTTCCATTTTGCAAATTGTGGTTTTCGAAGTACAAACACAGACAGCCAGAAAATTCTGGCTAAGCCATACCCCACAATTTGTTTATGTTTGCTAATAGAGATGCTTTCTACGTGTCATTATCTTCATACACCAATGCCTAACCCCCAACCCACCACGTTTTACGTCACATATCGTAATGCCTTAGACTTTCAACAACATAACACTCACCTAGGAGGACCGAGAACAAGCAAATTCTTGTACATTCGTTGTGGGGTTTTCAAAGTTTGTTCCTTTCATGGTTCTTTTGGTGAATTGTGGGAGCAAGATTGAATTTTTAGCGTTATTATGGATTTGAGCCATGAGTTCTGGTGAGTCTTTTCATCAGACTCCAAGACCCTTTTGGGTTGTGCTTTAAGCTCTTTCTGTGTACATGGATTAGAGAAACATGGGAGGAGGGTGCTGCATTTTGGCAATTTTCCATGTTTTGCTTTTGTGATTTTAAGGAATAAGTACAATGATGTGCTTTACAATTATTAATTTTTTAATCCAGATTATGGGAATGGAATGATACTTTTGGACTAGTGATTTTTACCCTTGTAGGATTGGTTTTCTGGGTTTTAGACATTCTGCCGAGGAATCATTTGGGGCGTTCTTAAGGGGCGTTTTGAATTGTTGTCTCTAGAGATTAATCTATGGTTTAACCTCAGCAATTTAGTACTTAAAAATGAGTAAGGAATCTGATAAGGTTTGAAGGTTGCAGATTTTCTATGTAATTAATATAGTTATCTTGCATTGTGTATCAGTATGAACTTATAAATAATTTCTTCATTTCTGCAGGAGAGTGCCTTTAGCGTGATGATGCTGTAAGGTCTGGTTAATGATATTGGTGTGGTTTTGAGAGTACAGTTCAAATGTGAATTTACCAATGCTGATGCGTGAACACACTAACAAAATGGTGATAATGAAAAGATAGTAACGTCAAGAAGTGATCCCTTTTTGAAAATTTGAAAGAACCCTGCCCGAAAAATAAGAAATGGGGTTACCACAAGTGCCTTCAGGCTGCATTGCTGAGGAAGTGGCAGCATCACTAGGCACATTTGTTCAAACTGCACCTAGAATTGCCAACATAAGCAACTATGAGTTTCACTTGTTAGCCGGAGAAGACATAGATAATTGCAGGCAAATTGATATACTTAACTCTGAAAGAAAAAATATTCTAGAGCCTTCAAAGGAATCACATATTTCAAGTATGTGTAAAGATGGTAAATTGAAGATTGACCCCATGGAACAAATTGGTAGGTTGTCTGTCAATGCAGGGCAAACTATGCAGACACCTATTTCTAGGACTGTAGGTTTTCAAATAAGAACATCCACCCCTCGTGTTAATGGTTTTGGTGGAAATGGATATTCGTCAACTGTGTTTAATGTCACCAGTGATGCAAATGATGCATCTGAGTCACAAGTCAGAAAGAGGTTATTGTCGCCTTTGAATGGGATTCTGCTTGCAGATCATTTTAAAATTGATCCCCTGGACATTGGTAATGGTATTTATCAAAGTTGTTCAAAGGCTGGTGATGATAATTCTAATACTTCACAGGGGTATAAGAAGGTTCATGTTGGAAATTACAACAATATTCACTCCAAGATCTGGCCTTCATGTTTTCAGGAATTTTCATATTCATCCTGTGATGACTCTACTATAAACCATATTGTATCTAGTCGTGACCATTCACATTGTGAACATACGGAGCCATGGTCTTATAAGCATTTTAAATCTTCTCCAGCACTTAATGATTCTGAAAAAACAGCTAAAATAAGGCCTCAAACAGCAGCATTGTCTATACCACAAAAAAAGGTGTCATCACCTCCCTTCCCTTTGTCTCCTCTGGGTAAAAATTCATCTAAAAATGAAAAATTGGGAGGATGCAGAAATATTGATACTACGTTGGATGATGAGAATTTGCTTGTTAATGATGCGGAACAATCACTTGAGAGAACTTGTCAAGGCATTTTATCTGTACAGGAGGTGCCAAGTAACTCGCAGTTCAATTCCAAATATGTTCAGCAAAAGTCTGAGATTTTTATTCCTGATAACATGATTGATATGAAAGAGTATTGGAGTCATCCTTCTAGCTTTCCTCCTCAGGATGCCAAGTTATGTGGATCTGTGAGTAAACTGCCAGTTAGAAGGTCCCTGGTTGGTTCATTTGAGGAATCTTTGTTATCTGGTCGCCTACTATCTGGGAAAGTTAGTCAGGTTGGCATTATTGGGTCTCTCCTTTGTGCAATAATTTCCTAATGAAGTTGGCATAATTTGAGTGACCTTTCTGTCCTTGTAATTGGATGCCTTCCATGTGCAGAAAATTGAAGGCTTTCTTGCTGTGCTGAATGTAACTGGCGGCAATTTCTCACCTCAGTCACAAAAAATACCATTTGCAGTAACCAGCGTGGACGGAGACAAGTACTTACTTTACTATTCATCAATTAATCTTTCAGGAAAGCTATTATCAAGCAAGTCTAGAGTCACTAAATTTCAGAGAACCCTTAGCATGGATGAATCACGATCTGAAAAGAGCCGTATACGGATACCTATGAAAGGACGTATTCAACTGGTAATTCACTACAAGACCTTTAAAATTTTTAACTTGAGAACATCATTTTCTCCTTTCTATCAACAAAAGTACAAATGCATTTATATTTATATGTAGCAAGAAAATGGTTATGCATTTATCTGTATAGGTAGCAAGAATACGGTTATGCATAGTGTTGCAGACTCAATGCATAACTTAATGTTTCGTGAATTCTATTGTTTATTCAATCTTTTTTATACTGATAAAAACACAAGGTAGCATGATGCCACAACTTAGATTTTTGGAGGTAAACAAGATTTCCGATACAGTTCTTAAAAGAAGTCACTAATTGACACGTGATGTGTTTAGGAAAGGTGGTTGTCAAAATATCAGTTTCAAGGTTGGAAGAATTAGTTCCTGGTCTGCCACTAGTGCATTACAAATATTTGAGAAATATTAAATTACTTATAAGATCTGATATGCGATAAATTTGTTCCATACTATACATATCAAGAAACAATTAGCATGTAATTTCAAAAATTCTTGTGCTAGCTATCGTTAGTAACTTCCCAATGAAAGTAACCTTACTGTTGGCAGCTTGGTCTCTTTCTGGGTGCATGATTAATTGCTAAGTGTTCATTACCCCTGGCCATTTCAACTCACTGCATAATTACTAGTAAGTTAATAACCAAACTAACTTCTTACCCTCAGCAATCTGAATTTATTCTGCAACGTACTTGTGAATTGTGATCACTACTATTGCTATGATAATTAAATTGCATAAGGAAGGGTGAGATAATATATGCCAGTAGATCCATAGTTTGTAGCTCGTTTCATAAAATTAGTGTTGTGTGTAAGCAGCTGGATGTCTGGTTTCTCAATTATATTCTGGATTCACATGTGGAATTCTACGTATTTGTGTGTGTGACAGACTAATTGACATAACTGCAGGTTCTCAGCAATCCAGAGAGGACACCTATCCACACCTTCTTTTGCAGTTATGATTTGAGTGACATGCCAGCTGGTACCAAGGTAAGATTGGGTAAATATATCATATACAAAGTTCTGTCATCATGCAACCATCCATTTGCATGTCGTATAATCATATTCCTTTTTTACTTAAATATTGGTTGGAGATGTAAATGATAGGAGACAAACCAAATTTTTAAGGGGTAGAACCGTAGAATGGCTAATTGGAGCAACTTGGCGTAACTGCTTTGTGTCATACCTCAGCCTCAAAATTAAAGGCCTATGTTGGTGTGACAACTGTTTGAGCAGCTGTTAAGGATTGATTTGATGTATAATAGAACGTAATGTCATAAACATTTTGTTAGTGTGTCTTCATGTGTTGAATGGAGATGAACAAGTTCTCATGTGGACTGCATGATTCAGTAAATTAATTCCTACTTGGCATTGTCATGCCTTTTGTGGTCAGTCTGCAAAGGCAGTGACACTGAAGCCAGCTTTTGTTAAATTAATTGAAACTATGTTTTATTTAAAAGTGAGTAATATGCTTTGTTATTTCTTCAGCTTTCGCTGAAAAAATTTACCAGTTCCATGTTTAATGAGCTTTGCCTGTATTCATCTAGAGTAGACATTCTTGCGGCAAAAGATCACTTTAACATCCTCATCTAGATCAATCTCTACGACGGGAAAAGAAGGCCATACAGATTCTGACATCACTGATGCCAAGTTCTCATTGAGCTCAGTTACCAGTCATGGAGATAAAGATCATCTCACCTCAAAATGTGGAGAGTTTGATAGTTTAACATGTACAAAGGCTGGTAAGGAAGAAAACTTGTGTTCAAGAACATGCCTGGTTAACGAAGACAAATTTCTACATGGTTTTTCAAAGGCTAATGACAATACTATTAACACACGCATATTGCTTTATGCACTTCACCTTCGCTTTATATGCCCCTTCCCTAAAAGACGTTCAAGGTCTGTTCACAAGTCCAAATCTGACCCTCCCTCTGCAGAAGGAAGAAATATTATGGACAATGAACACGAAAGAAATTTCTACTTGTATGATGATATGAGGGTAGTGTTTCCTCAGCGTCATTCAGATTCTGATGAGGGCAAGGTATGTAAATATGTGTAAAGTGTTTTTAATGCATTCATGCGCTAATAACTTGGCAAATATGTATCACTCTTGGGTAATCATGGGCATAGTTATTAAATGTGGACTAGAGGAACTGACTGGTTCAATCGGTTGGGATAGCAAGTTAGACAGGTTATGTAAACAAAATGGGTGTGACTTGGTTCAACACAACTAGGCTTCACATTATATGATGAAGGAATGAGCCCCAAATTTGACACAACTTGATCTTTTCAGCATAATTGTATAATCCATGGGCATTTTAAACTTGTAATTGAACCTCTGATCTTGTATTATAAACCTTGGTTATTTAATTTTTTTGAACTTGTGATCCTATTTATCAGTACTACACGAAACACTAACAGAGGGTATCTTCACTAATGCATGTTCAGTTAACCATCTTGAACTAAATGATGTTAATCTTCTTAAAGAACATTGCACTTACTTTTATTATAATATGATTTCAAATATAGTCCTAGAAGCATCAATTATGTAAAGTTTTGCATTTCTTGGTTCTCCCTTTCTCATTCTTTTCTCATCTATTGATCATTTCATGTGGCAGTTACATGTGGAATATCATTTCCCTTCTAATCCAAAATACTTCGACATCAGCTGCTGAAATGCCGCTTCTCGCTCAGTGGTTTTTGTACATATAGTTGTAAATGTTCAGTTAACCATTTTGTACATATTGTACCTTATACAATTTATTTCTTAGAATATTTGAGGCCATTTGCATCCATGTAATTTGTAATTTTGTAAATTGGATAGTCGCTGTCCATTTTTTATTCACAGTACTTTGATTAATTGTGCTGTTACTCTCCTACAACTGGCATTAGATGGCTCAATTGAGATCTGTGGCCGAAACAGAAATACCATTATGCTCATACAATAAGAGTGACATCAAACACAATATTCTCTAAGTTTCATAGAAGATGAGAAGTAAGACTAGAAGAGGTTAATGGGCAAGGAGATTATAATAGGACCTAAACACAGGGAATGGAGGTTTACAGAGCAGTATGCTATAGCAAATGACTGATAAACTTAAAATCTACATGTAGAATTTGCATTTGTTTTCATTAACATTTCAAGTATCTTGCCTCCACCATAATAACATTATCCTTGGGAATTTTATTTTGACATTTATTAATCGAAATCAACGTCATGTTATTCGGGTTTCTGTTAATTTAGCTTTGTAGGATTTCGGTTCAAGTTGTATTTCATTACGATGTGGCAAACTTGAAAAATGTAAAATGCAGAGGGAGACATAGCTATTGTGCCAAAATTTATAAGTAAAGGATTGAATTGGTGAAGGAAAGGCATCGAGCAGGGGTGAAAAACAAAAGCTATTGAAGTGAAGTGAAAGAAAACTATGAGGAAAAAAAAAATAGTAAGTAAATCCTGAGTGTGTGAAGAAAATATACTAAATTGTGAAAACACTATATTTTGTCACTCGTGTAAAAAGAGTGAACATGATATCATACTTTTTTATATACACAGTGGAATATTCTTTAAAATTTGACATGTGATTTTTCCTTCATTGTTAGAGGATTTTTCACGTTGAATATTGATATTTTTTTATATACAATATCGATACGCTATAAGATCTAATTTTATTATATCAAAGTTATTATTATTTATCTCTTTGAAATTTTAAGGTACACTGAAACAATGCTTATTGAACTTAACAAGTGACATCATAACTTTAGTTTAGAATCAAAATTAAAAGTTTAAATTAAATGGAGAACACCAAGCTCACTTCTACAAATTACTTCATTTGGACACAAAAAATGAAAGATACATTTTGCATGTGATCTTATGGAAAAGGGAGATGTAAAACCAAACAATGTGACAATGAAGATTGGACAAAAGTTCATTGAAAGGTAATAGTTTATTTGTGCAATGGGTGGATTTTAGTATTTTTCACCATCATTACTAAAAATACGCTTTATATAGACAGATAATACAGATGAATTCAATCTATTTGTAATACAGATGAATATTAAATTTTTGTTTTTGTTTTAGTTTTTGGAGAAATCTGTCTGTATTACAGACAGATCAAATTCGTCTATATGATCTGTAGTTGAGGCAAAAAATCATAGACAGAATTACATATGAAAATTTATGTTTGTAATTTAAAAATTAGCGAGAATTTTGGAGTGAGAGTTATAGACAAAAAAAATTGTCTATAAATATGACTATTTTTATTGTCTTTTTATCTGACTATTTACAAATAGATTTTTTTTCATTTGCAATGGTCTTTGGTGGATTTATAGACAGATAAATATATTTGTAATTAAACTTGTAAAATGTATCGTTTCATTAAATCATTTAGAGATAAATTTTTTCGTCTTTAATGTACGAAACCCATCAAAACAGTGTCTCCTCCTTCTTCTTCTTCCTTACTTTTCATTATTTCTTCTTTCTCTCATCTCCATGTCTTTGTCTCTCTCTAATATCATTAATTTTTTGGCCTTTGCGAGTGGTTGAAGCATCTATTTGAAAAATAATCTGCATCGTTGTGTTCATAGTACAATACTTTAACTTTTAATTAGTTTAGTTTTTAAATTTTTGATGTATAATAGAGACTTAAAATTTCTAAGATAGGGTTGTAGGGCTGAAGATTATATGACTAGGGAATGGGCGTAGAGATCCTTCCTCGAACTTGATTACTATGTGCTGTGGGATTGTTTATATTTACAGAAATTGTAGAATATGCATATTGTGGAGTTATAAAGGGATGTGCTCTAGAATAGTTTAGGATTGTGATGTGTATGTTTTTGATGCATTGATTAATATATTGTTATATAATATATAGATTATATGTGAAGAAAATTTAGATTTTTGTATTAAATATAAACAAATGTAAAAAAATATTTATATATTAGGGGATATTCTGCTGAAATTTACATTAGAAATTTGTGTAATGTAAAAATAAAATGTTGATACAACATTGTATATTTGTGTATTTGGTTTCTAAACATATATTATATTTGATTTATATATGACAGGTAATGGTTCATCCTGATTGTGGCAACACTTCACCTACTGCTCCCACTTCCACCTCCACACCAGATACACTGCAAACCTCCCAGGATAGGGGCCAGGAGCAGTTTATCATAGTGCTCAACCTATGTATGTTACTCCTCCCCCTCTAGTACAACGAGTTTCATAGTTTGCATCGCTGACTACACATGCCACACAATCTTCTTCTACACAAGGCACAGGTGAGGGATCCAATGCTATCCCAGCTGTAAGTGGGCAACAATCATCACAGACCCAGGCATTATCGAGATCGCTTTCAAGTTTGAGACGAGATGTGTCCACTTAATAAGTTAAATTCAAAATATGGCTAATAACATTATTTGATGTGAATGTTATAATAGTTGTATTATTTTACTATGTGCTAAGTTGGATACCACCGCAGAAGGGTCTTCACCAGTTGACAGACACCATTAAGAAGATATTTGATGCGCCTTACACAAGTTTTGCAAAGATATCTAAGGATACATAGATAGAATGGTTCAAAGATTAGAAAGTATAAACAAGTAATTAGTTTTAGCTAAGTGTAATTAGATATTATTTCTTGTACCTCTTCTAATGAAATTGTATTTATGTAAAGCAACTTTTCCATTCCCCCTATGACAAAAAGATGATTTTCCTGACTTGGAAAAGTCACACCGCAAATCGACTAAGAGAAATGCACACCCATCATCTGCTAATTGGATAACACCCAACTTTCTTCATGCCTTGCATGAGTATTGAAGTACGGATTAGTTTAAAAATTTCTCTATAAAGAACAAGACAAATAGGGCATCAAATAAAGGAGAATCATTGCATATTGATGGCTCTATGACTTTGGTTGGCACTAAGGCAAACTAGGTATGTGATTTTTAATTTTATTTTAAAATTTATTTTATTCAATCTATAATTGATATTTGAAATGGTGATTTAATTAAAATTGAAGGAGAAGTCGTTGAAGAGACCACCTACGCATGGAGAGATGTTCTAAGAGACACATACTTGCAAGGGAGACAAAATCTTGTGAGTTGATACATGATCTTAGGTTACATATGTAAGTCATCCTTATTGATACTATATGTTATTATTAATAGTTTATTAAATAATTCTTGAGACTAATATATAATTATATGAACTGAATTATAGAATGATTATGTTCAAAAGATTGATAAGGCATCTTTTTAGGATCTAGAGTCAGTTGATGAGGATGTTATATGGTCAATGGGTGGCCTTTATAAAGGCTACATTTATGGCATGGGAGGCCGCTTTGCAAACTCCATGTTTCCTACATCTGTCACCAGACTCACCGGAGTTGCCCTTTTCTTGCACCTAAGGAAGTGGAGGACATGATCCGCACTCAGGTTCTTGCCCCCAATGAAGAACTACAAAAGCAAAATGAGAATATGTGGAAGACAAGGAAAGTGGATAGAAGAAAAAGTGGGCAAAGAAGATAGAGAAAAAGGTAGCATCGAGGATGCAGAGGAAGGTGTAGCAACAACATATGCAAATGTATGCATACTTTGAGCTCATGAGAGCAAGCAGCTTCACATCTCTTCCTTCTCCTCTACCAGCTCCAGCACCACCAAACTTCAGCTCTATACATCATTAGGATTATAAAAGTTTATAGTATTTGAATAAGAATGAGGCTCACTAAAAATACTATATTTAGTATCTTTTGTATAGAAAGAATGAAAAAGATATTGTAATTATCCTTATATAATGGAATAGTTTTTGGAGTTTGTCCATGTGATTTTACCTTCACTGTTAAAGAATTTTCCAAGTTAAATATTGATGTTCTTTTATGTACAATATTATTGCACTACAAGATCTAATTTTATTAAATCAAAGCTATTATTATTATTTTATTTTTTTTAATTTATTTTTACACAATATTTTTTTAGGGCAACTTACATATACCATTAAATATATTTTAACTAATTACTGTCTTAATAAATTAAAATTAATTTTTTATTAAGATATATAATATTTAATAGTATTATATATTCTTTCTATAATTTTAAATAGAAGCATTTTATTTGACATTTCCTTGATCGTTACTAAACTAGTAATATTCACGTACAATGCTTCTAATTATTATATAATATATGTAACCATTAAATTTTCTTAGTTTATTATTTAATAATTTCTTTATAACATATGTTTTTTTACACATCTACTTAAGTTTTTTTTATAACACATCTACTTAAGTTGGTAGCACATGATTAAGAAATGAAATTATTGTCTTTATTTTTGTAAAATATTTATCAATTTTCTATTATATCTTTTATTTAACTCTCTTCAATAATTAAATAATATTTTGTTATTACTTAAGAGTTATTAAGTAATGTAAGGGTATATTTAAAAAATTATAATTAATGTAATTTTAAACTTTTAAATGAATAAATAAATAGAAATATTTTTTTTACATGTCAGAAAGTATGTATATATATATATATATATATATATATATATATATATATATATAATTTAAAATATTATTTAGATGAAACTAAGCGGATATAGTATTAGTCTTATATTTAACAGGCATTTAAGTCTAAAAATAGAGAAGATATTATTAAAAGGAATTGTCAAATTTAATTGCAGGTAGTTTTCATTGTTAATTTTAACTTTTTTACACACTAAAATGTTAAGAATATATAAGTTGAAAAATCAAGCCATTGGATTATGACTACAAAACCATGCAGCTACCTTTTTTTTAACTTGTGAGAATATAGATCTAAAACGCAAAGGACATTGGTTGACGAAGATATCTATCAAACTCATTAACATGCATTATCGTTAAGGAACTACGAGGGTTGCCACTCACCATAAGCTTGTAATTAACATATCTATACAATCCAAACAAAGTGTGTTGTATTGAATCTTCAGATCTGGAGTGATTGAAATTTTGTACAAATGGTACATGAAAGCCTAGATTATAAATTTGATTTACCACCCCCAATCCCATGTACATAATATTTGGGAAAGGATAAATTATCACTTCTTAAAATCATATCATAATCATAATACATATTGGTACTCTTAAGAAGAATAAACTTTCAGTTTTAGCAAAATAGTTCAACCAGTTGATATTATCAGTGAAATAATTACTTTAATATACTTTATAATAAAATGTTTAGGATTTTTTGTTTTCATTTAAAATGCTTTTTTTAAATTTTATTTGTAAATGATATTTAAAAGAATTTTGTTAACTTTAATTTAGAGAGTTAAGTTTAAGAATTCAAAAATGATATATTTTTATTTAAAAAAATATTTATAACTTTAAGAATAAAAGTATATAAAAAATTCAATGTTTTATTATTATTATTATTATTATTATTATTATTATTGTTATTATTATTATTATTATTATTTTCTTAAACTAAATTCTAAAGATTTAGGTTAACATTTTTTATTTAGAATTTGATATAAAAAAATAAGTTAGAGAGAGAGAGAGAGAGAGAGAGAGAGAGAAAGTTCTTATTTCTTTTGAAAATTTAGATAAAGTTATCTTTATTTAATAAATATGAAATTTCATTCTTGGAGATGAGATGATTACGTGCTTTCCTTAATTTATAACAGCGTTATTGTCTATTTTTTTTATATAGAAAAAAAATTAATACCAAAATATGAGATTTAAAAAGATATAGAAGTATGAAAAATTTTCAAGCTAAATGGACAATTTGTGGTAGTTTAGTTTATATATATATATATATATATTTGACATTTACTAGTTTTAGTTTTTAAAATTTTTTATTATTTTTTGAAAAATCACTTTTGACAATTTTTTTTTTCGCTATTGAAAATTCTTTATATTTTATAGTTTTTAATTGTTTTATCTTTTAATCTTTATATTTACACTTAAAAATTGCCATTGACATAATATCACAAAAAAAAATGCCATTGACAAATTTTTAAACTTCATATTTTTGTAATTTTTAAAAAGTTTTCATATTTTTATATACATTTTTAATATGCCATATAATTTTTTCTCATTTTGTGATGTGTATTTATTTAAACATATATATCAAATAAATATTTTCTAAATTAATTATTCAATTAAAAATACTTTTAACATTAATAAATTTATTTAATTGGTGTTTAACTTTATTCAATTAATATTTAACATGATGAGACATATAATTCATCAATAAACATATTTTATCAAGTAAACTAACTTTTGAAAATTTTCAAAATTAAATTCTTTTGTCTAAATCATAGATATCTTTCACTAACAACAATTATATTTAAGTTGGATAGAATCATTATAAGTAACAAAATTCTTTTTCTAAATATTTAACACAATGATACATCTACTTATACTTTAATTTGAGATCATGATAAATTGACCAGTCACAAGTTAAATGATTTAAATATATGTATTTTTATATTTTGATTTATCTTTTAATATAAAATATAATCCCGTAATATTCTTTCATGTATTTAACTTTATGTTTTAATATTTTACTTTATTTAAAATTACCGGTTTAATGCATGGATATTTGCTGTTATATATACATTATTTGGTATGAAAAAGGTTTTTCTACCGAACTTTCCATCTTTCATTCAATTTTTTAGGTTCCATTTAGGTTTTTATAAAATTCATGTAAAGATTGATCATTATTTGTTTAAAAAAACTGTGAATAGATCACCTAGTAAAGAGCTATTTTAGCTTAACTAAAGATTTCATGTTCAACTCTCCACACGAAAGTAACTTAAAAACTTACAAGTCCATATTACTCCAAAGATATCTAAATTGCGGAGATGCTCTAGAAAAACATATTTATTAAGAAATTTAGCATAACTTTTCATTTAAAAAGGATATTATTTGATATTTTAATTTTAAATCCTTAATAAATGAGTTAAATAAAATTAAACTATGTCTAAACAATACTATGGTAAAATCAATTTACAGCCTCGAACCGGAATCAATGCACGCAAAGTCAGTCACGTCACCTAACTGCGCGAGGAACGAGAATTCGAGACAGCCCCATCGATTTGCTTCCGTTGGTTCATGTCATGTGTAGGATTATTAACTGCAGAAACAGTCCGCAAAAAACAACCAACTTTATTATATTCTTTTACGTATCTTTTAAATATTTATTATTATTATTTAATATAACAAATAAAAATTTACCCATTTTTTATTTACTAATAAAAAATCATAAACATAAAAAATAGAAAGATTTAGAAATATTTAAAGAAAAAAAAACTGTAATCCTGTGACCTTACCAAATTCAGCCAGCAGAGGTGTCTCTTTCAACTGAGGGAAAATAAGGTGCAATTATTTGCTTCCCACATGATTTTACTAGTTTTTTGCAGCCTGGAAAGTTGAATCCACCTTTTAAGTGATCTCCCTTGCGTACATCTTTAAAGATAATTTATGAATCGCGGTCTGAATTACCTTGTTTATATTTTGGAAGTTGTTCCTGCTTTTCTGGTTGCTGTAGCGATATTCCAGTAATTTTGTACTCTAGTAACTTGTGATATACTAGTAGCCTCTTTGTTTATCTCTTATTAATTCTTCAAGTTGAATGCGTTGTTAAGACCGGGCATGGGCAAAGTAACTTGGATAGTGTCGTATACATAGATCAAGGCATTTTTTAGTAGCATTTCATTTGTGTCATACAGTTGGCAAGCAATGAGGCTGGAATTCTAGGGAAATGTACATTTTCAGCTGAGATAATAGAACTTTATATTACAAACTGTCCACGGTATTTGAAGATTCCCCACATATAGCTGTCACCATATACTTGTATTTTATACCAATTTGGATTTGTTATGATAATGACAACGCAGCAAAGGAAACTCAGTTCGTTCATTCACTGGCAGGGGATTTCAACAGATGATTGTTTAAAGACTAAGGACAAGCCCAAGAGTGGAGAGGGAAAGGGAGCGATAGAGGTAGGTCCTAACCTGTTAACATAACAGACAACAAGACTTCAATTTGGGGCAATCCATAAACCGTATGCACATGGTCAAGAACAAGTGCACATGGAGCACACAGACAATTGTGTCAACGTCCACCAAAAAGACATTAAGGAAATTCCCAGTATCAAACCCTCTCAATAATCCAATCAAATACTAATCCGGTAAACCCTCTATTCATGAAATCGGGTTAAGAACAGGTACGATTTAGACATCAATGAAAAGCAATCCATGATGGTCACTAAGAAAGCAACATCCTAGATAGCCAATACGAAATTTATAAGGATAAAGGATCTGTCGCACATTTTTCAGCCAAACACGTAGAAGTACAACGGGGCACCCTATTAATGATGATCTGGGTCCTGGGATTTCCATGAACATGTAAGTTGTAACCCGGCCGTGTTTGAAATCATTTATTATTTCTTGAGGGGAAATTAGGCAAATTTCACCAACTCATCTTCCTCATCCAAACCCTCTCTTTAGTCCCATTGGGGTTGCTAAAGAAACCGTGAATACGCAAACAAAAGTTATATACAAGCTATTTCAGAATCAATTCTAAGATATTTCAGAATCAATTCTAAGATCGAATGCAATATGTTATCTTTAGCCATTTCATGTCTAGATTGACGGCAGAAGATGAAAAAAAAAGGAAAAGGGAGGAACAGCATCAGCTGCTAACTATTATTTAGATTGTTTTACGATGAAATTAGTAAACTATTATATTATTTAATTTAACACCTGTATTTTTCTCCTCACTAATTTGAGACTACGAAACTTAACCACTTCTCAATCATGAAATGAAAACTTCCATCCTTTTCATCACAAAAAATATCCATATAACAATTTGACAATTTTATTTCATTCCGTTTCAACCCATCATGGACATCCACACATACTTGAAAATCACATCCCAATCTGAACATACTGGATCACAAGTAAAACTGTAAAAGCATTATATGTAAACCATTTTAGCAATTAACTAGGAACTATCCCTATGGATCGTACTCTACCGCTGCACTGCAAAATCATGTACTTGATAATTGTTCCTAAACCAAAACACAAGTTCTCAGATAAATCATGACAAAACTCACCTCTACATACAAACATCAATTATTAATTATAAACAATTACAAGAAGAAAAAGGGGTAAAAGAAAACCTGAACACGCCTATCATCATACATACAGATCAATGAATACTCATCATTTGTTACTGTACCACGATTAAGTTGATCTCTAAGGTCTTGCAAAAACTCCCCATATCTTACCACGCCCAAGGCTCTCCAAGAGCTTCTTGGACCCAGGAACATCCATTTCAGCAAGCTTCTGCGTATGAACACAGGCCCCCGCAGCCACCATTTGCTTCCTACAACTCTTGGAATGCACGAGCGCCGCAAGCAAAGAAACAGGGTACTTCTTATCCAAACCCTGCAACGAAGGGTTCAAAAGATGAACCGCACTCACAATCCCCCTCTCATCCTTACGGAAAACCCTCCGATTCCCTGCGTGCATCAGCAGCACCGACAATGCCATCGCAGAAGCTTCTTTCTCTTCCACGCCTTTCCCATCCAACATCTTAATCAAAGGAACAACGCACCCACACTCCCCCATCTCCTTCCTCGCCTTTCCACTGTTCAACCCCAACGCATAAACCCCTCTCGCCGCGGCAATCCTCACCGCCAGCACCTCACAATTCAGCACTCCCAACACCCTCTCAACAAACCCTTCACCAACCAGAACCTCACATATTGGACCACTCGAAGCCAAGTGCTTCAACATCACCACCGCAGCCTCAAGACTCGGAACCGGTGGACCCGAGTCCCAGAAATTCCTCAAACACTCAACCCCACCTTCCTTCACCACCGAAACCCTCAAACTCTCCTCCTCCGAAATCAAATTCGCCAAACACCCAATCGCGTTTTCCCGAGCCAAAGCCGTTCCGGAAGAAGCCAAACCAAGAAGAACAACCACCGCGTTCTCCTCCACGAAATTGTCCCTGATTTCGGCGAACGCGGCGAGGTTCCTCAAAACCGCGGCGGCAGAAGCTTGGGAACCAGGAGTGCCAGCCTGGCAAATCTCCAACAGCGACGAGATTCCACCTCTTGAACCAATGGCCCTTGCGTTCTCCTTGGTGAAACTCAGCGCTTGAAGCGCGATGCAAGCTTTCTCTATGGCGAACCCACTTCCGGAGTCGAGAATCCGAAGCAAGTGGTTGAGAAGAAACAAACCCTCGGCGATTAGAACGTTTTTGCCGCTTTCGACGGTGGATACTCTGGAAATCGCGGCGACAGTTTTTTCCTTCATGTCGGTGGAGGAATCCAGTAGGCGGACGAGGACGGGAACAACTCCCTGGGCCACGGCGATGGTGACGTTTTTGTCGTCTTCGTGGAGAAGGCCCAACAAGGAGTCCATAGCGGAGGATTTGGACTCGGGTGACCCGATCTGCAAACGGGTGATTAAGCTTCGAGATGCGGATCGAAGGGCTTCCCGTTTGGAGGAAGTAGAAACGGCGGCGTTTTCGAGGAGGAGGCCACTTCGGAAGAGGATGTCGCAGTCGGTGACGTGGCGATGGAGGGTGGCGAGGAGGGAGTCGAGGTCGCTCTGGGTTTTGAGCTTGCCGTGGGGTAAGTGTGGGGATTGGCAGTGTTGGGCGATGGAAACGGCGTCGTTTAGGGTTTGAGTGATGGAGTGGAGTAGGTGGAGGGAGAGAGGGTTGGAGGTGGAGGCATTGGGGAACTCGGCGGAGAAATCGGTGAGGTGAGTTTGGAGATGGCTGAGTTTGACTCGCGCGAGTGACCACTTTCCTTTGAAGTTTTGGACAGTCGGGATTTCCGAGTCCAAGAGGTTAGACAGGAGGTGGAGGGAAACACTGATAGGCTCTGGTTCCGCTGATTCTTTCATCTTCCCTCTTTTTGCTTTCCACTCTGATTCAGGGCTCAATGGGTTAAGTACAATAATAGTGTTTCCAGAGTCAAGGATTTGGAGCGTGCATACACTCGCGTCTTCGCACGTTTGGGGTTTCATTCCCGCCACTCTTTCTTCGTAGTTAACACCCACCCGCGATTTTATGTTAAACAGCTCCTCACGTTTACGCTCATCTTTCCTAAAATTTGTAAACTTTTTTTTATTTATTTACTTTTATCCACGCATGAAGGTGAAGTTGTTAGGAGGAAAGCATAGGTGTAATGAAATGGAAGAGGACGAATCTTAATCGGAGGGAAAGAATCTACTCAATCTAGCGATTTGACTTGATCCATGTTAAAAGAGTTGTATTATTTTTCTACCCCATGATTTTATATTGTATCACATTTATTTAATCTCTTCATACAACCTTAATACTTAAAAATGTGAAGATATCTTCCTTATGTGTCTATAGGAAATGTTCAAAAACATTTGTGATCACTATGAAGAAAGAGCAAAGAAAATTAAATACAACTTATGAACTTTCATCATTTGAATAACGACAAAAAGAGAGAGTAAAGAGAAAAAAAGTGAAATTCACTCAACATATTTTTCTTTCCAATAAACAAGATATAAACTAATTTCATTAAAGTCACTGAACAAAGGGTCCTAATACGTGTGATGGTCAGCTCTTGGTTTGGAGGTGGAGACGATGCAGTGTGGCGACCTATCACCAATTTTCATAACTAATTTTATAGAATCAATTTGGTAAGGTTAAGGAGGTATCATTTGAACCTAGCTTTCAATTGATTTCACTAACTTCAAAATTAATTTTACTGTTCAATTAACTTACCTATAAGTTTTTAACTTTTAGCATCTAGTTAACCTTTAGAATTGCAGTTAACATTTCAATCGCATTCATAAATTTAGCTTTTATTAATTATAATTTTATTATTATCAATAGATAAGAAAATAAGGAAATATCCAACTGATTTTTTTCCACTTCGTTATGCATAAATGACATATAAATTAACTAAATTGAAAATCATTCAGATTAATTATGGAAATTGTAAGACCAATATTGTGTATACATTAACTATAATTATTTATTATTGGGATCATTGTCGTGGATGCCAAACATTCTCTCCCACCCATACATATATATATATATATATATATATATATATATATATATATATATATACACACATATATTCACTTTTTCCTTTTTGTATTTTATTCATCTTCTTAACATATATATTTTATTCTGTTTTTTCATCGTTCTTAATTTTTTAATTTAATTCATCATATAAACAAAGGCATAAAAATAATTGTTAAAAATTATAAAAAGTTTGACGTTTCGCTTTTGTTTTAACTTTTTAATCTATAAAAATTGTTAAAAGACATCTGTTATCACTAAGATAATTTTGTGTAAAAATATATGTAATAAAAAAATAAAATAAAAAAAACACATTAGCTGTTCGTTACCTAATTTGATTTGGGGAGTTCAAATATGAACGGCGTGTGAATTATAATACAAATTTATATAATATATTTTTAAAATTAAATACATTGTAAGTTATAACATATTTTCATAAATAAGTTTGTTAGAAAGTCTAAAATGTGTGCATTTAAAGAGATAAAAATAAATTTATTATATATTTCACATTAGATGAGAGCAAAAATACTTCTGTGAGCACAAACTGAATTATTCAACTAATGATAATTTATCCTTGTTAAAAGTGTAATGAATAGTAGTTATTATAGCATATTATCATTTGAGAAAAAAAACCCTAATCTTTCTTTTTGGTGATTATGTTATTTAAATAAACAATACTAATCCGCAAAATATATTTTTTAAATATCTAACTTTCGTAGACTTGAGTAACATTAATTTAACTATTACAGGTAAGAGATTACTGCAAGAAAACATTAAACACGGTCAAAGAAATCAACGCCCAACAATGCAAAATATTATATTTGATAAAGACAAATATCATACAGGTTAATAAAGTCATGTTTTATACTCAAAATAGATAAAAGAAAACACAATTAAAATAAAATAAATATGTAATTTAGGCAAATACTATCAAATTATCTCAATAATATTATCAGAGATATAGTAACAAAATAAATCAATACATTTTCAATGACAAAAAATACAAAACTTTTAGATTATAGGGACTTGAATAAGCAAAAGTAATTTAACTTTATTGATTATAACAATCATTTTAAAAAATACAGAAAGATATAATTTTCATAATGATATTTTTCAATTAAGAAATTTTTACTAATAGATTAAGAAATATAATAATTAAATGAAATGAGTGAATATTGAGAGATTAAGTACAAATTAAATTAATGATGCAGAAGTAATACTAACACATGTAGTAAAGAGTACACACGCAAACAAAATTAAGGTATTATATCAGGACAAATGACTAAGATTTAAAATTTATTTGAATCTCACTTCAAGGAAAGAGTAAATTTTTATTCAACCTTCACAAGTATTACACGTTAAGCTATTTATAGATGATTCGCAACTTAATTTTTAGTTTATTCAATTAGAAGTCACTATACCTAGTCAGCATTGAGTGAGTTATTTCTTAGCTTGAGTATTTTGGAAGTCACTATACCTAGTTCAAAGATTCATTTAGCAAAATGTGTTATTTTTATAATTTGAAGTTCTAACTTGCATCTTCTATCTTTCAACTCAACTTGTTTCTTGCTTCAGTTGCAATATAGTTACTTTTCATTTGTTCTTCATGGAATTTGCACTTGCAAAATGCATCAAAATTCATTAATTCAATTGAAATATCTACAACTAGGTGAAATTTTTCTTTTGAATTTTTGTTATGCAAAATATAATAATTCTAATATATTTTTTACCTAGTTTTACTTGTTGCATTATTGTATTATGCATAACTATCTCTATAAATTCACTTAAATTATGGATTTATCATACTTTTACTAAACTAAAATATCGAAAGACTTGAGAGACACTATTTAAAGTTTAGTTAATAGATGTATTATACTTAGTATACAACAATAATATTGTTAAAATTTATCACAAATAATATAACAAATAACACAGGCTAAAAATTATGACAATAATGTATCATGTTTTCATAAGAAAAGTAGTTGTATGTGTACTTAACACTAATATAAGACAGTTTTTCTTGCTATTAACATAATTTGCATAAACTTAAGTACTCATAATAACCTAATAACTACTATAATCACATAAAGTCTAGTAATACAAATAATTAGATATGAAATTAATAATAAATGCTTTATAATAATTGATATTTGATTAATCTATGCTTCATTAAATAAAGGAATATATTAACTTATATTGGATTAAAAAAGTTATCATTAAATTTGAATAATTTAAATAAGATGAATACTTTAAATTAATATGGCCACACACAAAAATCCAATTGTTATAGTTATTGGTTTAATCATAAGATTACAAACACATTATTAACGTAAAAAATTACATTTAATAAGAACATAATTATGATGCATGCAAGATGTGAATTCATAAGTCTGACCTTATGTAATATAATAAGTTGATCAAGAAAAGCAAGCTTAAGAAATATTATGGTACTAGATCAAAACATGAATTTTCCTTTCTAAAATGATTTCTTTTTTTAAATTTTTTTGCTCTCATTCCCACTCTAAAAACTTATTGACTCCTCTTAAAAAAAAATTTGCTCTCTTTAAGAGAAAAAATCTCCCTCTTTAGTTCTCTTATTTTTGTCTTTTATTGGTTTTATTTTAGGATTTCACAAAAAATTAAATTTTCTGAGGTATCCTTATGTTATGTATGGAACAGATATTGATTTATAAGTTTCATTTTTTGTTATACAGATCTTAGCTTTCCTTGTTTCTTTAGATTGGTTTTCATATTTTTTAAAAGAAATTATTTTTTTTCTTTTTTGATAAAATGGAATCAGAAAATACAATTTTATATTAGAGAAAGCAAAAAAACTGTTATTCACACCTGTCATTTTTTTTATTTTGTTTTTATATTATTTTGTCTTTGATAGGCTAAGTCAACCCACCTTAAAATAAGCCAAGGCTAAGTCAATCCACCTTAAAATAAGTCAAATTAAAAAATTTAACTCACTTTAAAACATAAGGCAAGACAAGTTTGGTCAATCCATTTTATGCAAGATTTGATAGAAGATAACATGTTAAAGCAAATTAATCCACTTTGTCACCTCTAATCCAGAACCTCTTAGTTACTTCATCCTTTATTATAAAAGCAACTATTAATAATCAAAATTACAAGTTCAATTATCATAAAGTCACACTTATATTTGTCTTAAACTAACATGCATAATCACTAATTGCTATTGCTCACATTATCTTTGTTATCATAAGTTACTTTTAATTATTTTTTTCATTGATTTAACTGTGACAAGAAGGAGGAAAAAGGGACGAAGATGATAATGATGTAATAATCTAATAAGACAAAAAAATTAATATAATTCTAATTAAAATTAAAAACAAATAAATTAGGAGACTAAAAGTTTATTTTATTTATCACTTTTAAAAGTTGAAGATGATTTTAATTTATTTAATTAATTTATATATTTAATTTAAAATAAATAATAATTAGTTAATAAATGAGATAAGAATATAACCAGAGATTAAATGATAATTTTGTCATGATTAATTATTGAAACATAAATCGCTGTCGTTGCAGATTTAATAATTAATGTATGATTTAAAAAGCATTAATTATTTTATTTGTTAAATAATGGGGGCAAGTGGGAAGAAGCACGTGGAGGCGAAGGCAACGATGGTAGAACAGACGCAGATGAAATGAGCGTGGTATGGAAGCAGAGTGAGTGTGACTTCCCCGGTCACATTTTTTTATTTCACACACTGCAAATTCAACTCACTGCTCCTTCACACCGACCATTGACCCAGGATACGTTCAGATAAATAGTTTCTTTTTTTTACATTTATCTAATAAATTAATTATGCTATAAATTTAATTATACAAATTATTTAAATATAACTTGACTTCATTTAGCCTATCTTTCAGTGGACTTTGCTCCATTTCGTACCTCTCGTGGACTAGCTTGGAAGCTTTGTTACATCATATTTTCTGC